GCTCGATGTTTTCCTAACCGCTTCTCCGTTGATTGATGTAACTCTCAATTGCGTTGATGGCCCAGATATTCCGAGATTCTTAGCGACCGTGTCGGAAAGCAAAGTTGTATCGGAGCCGTTATCCAAAAAGGCATATGTTAACTGGGAGCCGCGTGGGCCGATTACTACGACAGGTACGAACCCCAAATAGGTATATGGTGTCTCTGTGGAAACTGAATTTATCCTAGCACCATTTGATAGATGCGGAGATCTAGGAATGTGTAATAAAGCGTGATGACGTCCGCTGCATCTATCTACCGTGCATCGACCCCTCACTCGACAAACGTTGGCTCGATGACCCGGTCTAAGACACAAAAAACAGCCCTTGATTTCTCTAATTGTTTTCATTCTCTGCTCGTAGTCGTAAGATTTAAATTCATCGCATAGCGATAGGGGATGATCGCGGTGGCAAACGGGACATGTTTCATCTCGTTGAGTATGCACAGTATTTATCCGTGTTCTGTGGCCTTGGCTACCTGTTAGATTCTCCTCGTTTCTTCCCCTGTCTTCCTGAAATCGGCCAGCGCCTTGTCCGTAACAGTACGTGGCTGTGGAGAGACAATTTTCCAAAAATGCGATCGCGGAATAGGAGTTTTGTACCTTGTAGTCGACTACTAGTCATTTCATCTGCCAACTTCAGCTGCATGTACTCGGGGATACGCCGTATAACTCCTTTGATGGTTGTGGGGCAGTTAAGAATAGATGCGTAACCCAACTGTTGAAGGATTATCTCACTATTGACAACCCGGCGAATCAGTTGCCGGAGGCCATGGATATCGCTAGTCCTCAACTTATTTCCGTGGAGTAACCCGTCCAGCAGATTCTCTGCGACCTCGTCTGGACAACCAAACTGGGATTCTAGTATTGACAACGCCCTTATGTANACAACACACACTCTTCTATAGCTTCTCGCGCTTCTCCAGTGCAACAATGGATAAGGTACGCTAACCTTTTTCTGTCGGTTCCCAGATGTGCAGCAACATCTTGTTTAAAACTGTTCAAAAATCTCCAAAGCTTCCTTGGATTGACAATAGAATCAGGTTTGTTTTAGCCACAACGTGAGTACCAAAACACAAGATTTCGATGACAACGTTTCGACCTTCTTGGAAGGCCTTTTTCAAGTCAGTTTAAAGCTTAAAGCTTGTGTTTTCGAGAAACCGATTAAACTGTCTTGACAAAGACCTTCCAAGAAGGTCGAAACATTGTCACCGAAATCTTGTGTTCTGGTACTCACGTTGTGGCTAAAACAAACCTGATTCTATTGTTACCATGAGGACAACGCCCAAATTTTTCGAAATGATCCGGAACACCTATGGATTATTAACTGTTCTTCCTTGGAGTGCCGTCGAAACTCACCAGACTCAACTCGGGAAGTCGTCTTGTAGTGTGTGTGGTTTTGTTAGACGACAAAGTAGTGTTGGGTACTGGCCGGTCCGCCGGCAAAAGGTTGACGTAATCCTTAACATGTTCTAATCGTTCCATGACTTCATCTCCATAGTCGTCATCTCCTCCGAGAGAATGCTCTTCATCGTGCAAGGTCGCAATCTCCAAATCTAACTGTTTTTGCCTAATCTCCAATTTCTTCATTTCTATCGCAAGTTGTTCCGATGCTATCTGCTTTCTTCTACTACATCTAGGTGAACTGCTACGGGAAATAGCGTTGCCTGCACCCTCATTACCTTTAGCCGTGCCAAACAAAGGGGTACGGGAAGAAATCTGCTTACCCAAATGTTCGTCCAGTGTGTGTGAGTGACTGGTCGCGTTTTCGTCCAAAAGAGCTTTGTCAGGACCAGAATGTTCCAGCGTCTGTGAATTACTCCGGGTTACTGGCATTGTATTCTTCTTTGTTCCAGGCAATAAATGAAAACGAGCCCAAGGGAAAATGGATTTGAGTACTGTTAAATCCAAATGACTATCCAGGCCA